GGCATGTGTGCACGTGCCCAACATCTGAGAGGAGAATGGAGAAGGGATGGATTACAGCGTGGTCATCCCCATGAGGGGAGATTTCTTGCTTTCTGTCTCTTTGTCTGTCTCTGTCTTTCTGGGGATAGCACGTGCCCTATAGCAAAAATCCCTCTCAAAAAAAAATTTTTTTTTTCTGGTTTAGTGGTTATTTATTAAATACAGAGAGTAACAAAAACAAGATTACTTTTACTGGTACTAGTACCTGATATCAGTTCCATAAAAGTATTAAACATTCTGCATGTACTACATACACCAGTATGAATAGCTAGTATTAGCCATTTTCACCTTTGCAGTATCTATGAAAGTTTTAGTTATCAAATTCTCCAACATTTTCCAATAAACCCACACAAACTTCCACTAAAATATGTGCCAAGAAAATCTACCTTCAGCTCCAAATTCAATTTCTAAGTTTCTGTCCAGTTTGCCAAAACAAGCATTACTAAGGTATTAATTATTACAAGAATGTTTTGGAATCAGAAACTTGGACCCGAATTCCTGCATCCCAGTATTAGTGGGATCTTACATTGCATTTTTATTTTAATAAGCCTAAGTTTTTTCCTCGGATCTTGAGAGGATCCAATGAGCACTGGTCAGGAAGCTCGCCGCGGTGACAGTACATCAGGAGGGCTTTAAAATCAGCACGTGAAACTCTCTGGAATAATGCAGCAGCTAGTCTGCATTTTCTATACTTTACCTAGTTGAAAATCAAGGGTCAAATAATTCCATTTATAAGTAAAAAATATCTTACAATACCACGAATATTGTCATACTCCCAATAATGTAGTAATTTTAATTTATGAAGTTCAATCCTTCTGAGACTTTCAAGACACTTAGTGATCATTAAGTACATTCATCTGAGATTTACCAAGTGCCTACACCCACCACATACCAGACATTGTGCTGAGGCCTTTATTCAAGAATCACAACTGCAGCAACTATCTTGAGACTCAATTTCTATTCAGCCACAGCGCAAGAATACTTGCATGCAGTAAAGTTTCACATTATTATTTGAACTCTGTATTGGAATGCTGAAATTTGACGATTTTGACTTAACTAAAAAACAAACAGGTTTACTTTGAAATCATGTATGATTTCAAGGCTATTTTTGCATGGCTTACTTAAGTGCCATGGTCAAACTCTATTAGGCCCTAACATTAAGGATCAAATTAATGAGATATTTACCAATTTGACATTTCTAAAATTATTAAGTGGGGTTTTACGATGTCCTAGTTGCTAACGTTCTCCTAGCTTCAATCTCAGTATTGTTAAATGCACTGTCATTCTTGTCTCCTCTTCCTTCTGGCTAAATAATTGACTTGGTACAGGGAAAAAGCATGCAACAGGGAAAACATCTTCTGATTATACAGATTTCAATTTTAACATGTTACATCCACCCATGTTACCCACTTAGCTGTCTTTTCAAGAGACACATGTAACAATAGCAGCCTTCAACTTCACTGCTTCTTTGAGCAAATAAAAAGCCTACAAAAGTATGCAAAATCCTCTATTGTTTCATGTATTATCTGCAATTTACCATATCATGTTCTATCTTTAATTCATGTGAATGAGGTATAAAATGATGATTTTTAAAGTGTCCGGCTCTGTGCTTATGAATTTGACTGGGTTGGGAACACCATAATGCTGCAATTCCTTCTCCATCCTGCTGAGATTTTGTGCACGCACACATGCAACCTGGTATTTTTTTTTTCAAGCTGTTGGGACATGAGCCACTGTTGGCCATATGAGATCCAGTTCCTTTACCCACTAGACTACTGGGCTGGCTCAACAATTAATTTTTAAAATGGAAAATGATGTCAACTTGCAATATGGACTACAGACAGACTCAGGAGCCTGAACCTAGGGTCAAACCTAGGTTCAACTCCTGGCCGTGCCATTTCCTAGCAGGAACCTTGGGCAGCATGGCCTAACAATGGCTGTCTGAAGGCAATGTGACAACTCAATGAGCACATGTACTAAGAATAGTGCCTGGCATGTGGTAAACACCAAGATGTTACTACCGGACATTTCTAATTATTTCTGCTTTGGGGACTAAAACCGATTTATCATTTTGCTAACCTAAAATAGCATTCATTTAAGTAGAATGCAATAAATACTTATTGACTATGTACCACATCAATAGAGTACACGATGTACAATTGATATGTAACAGCTCTTGTTCCATGACTGAGGTAGCCTAATAATTTGCATATCATTTATGAAAAATGTAGCTATAAAAACCGAGTCTTAAGTTACATTAGACAGGCAAAGATAAATTCCTGTGAAATTAGTCAGGTATTCAAAGTGAGTATTTAAAAACTGTAAACAAAAACAGCATTATCTGGATTTAATGTATTATTCTCCAAACAGAGGAACTATTTAGAAGCACAAGATGAAATCAAAGTACTAGTTTCCTAAAGAGGTAGGCATAATATTAACATCAGTGGTTCTCATGGAAGCCTCCTGTGGCACCTAACACACTGCATGAACAGAACATCAACAGCACTTGGCTGTGCTAGGGATTCTTACAGAGAAGGTGTAATAGCATCTTGGGGGGAGTGGTACAGTCTATTGTGTGCAGGCTAGCTAGGTGACTCTGGGATATGCTTTAGGGAGGTGTGCATCCTTTCCCCATTCCCTTTTAAAATTCACTGACATGAAGAATCCTTGCAATCACAACCACTTTTTATTTTGTGAGGCTGTGTATTTCCTAATTTCAATAAACTTTCAATCTTTAAATAACTATTAACAATTCAAAATAAACACTGTCCTGAATTTGAAAGTGATAGTAGAGATTACAATTTAACAGTTATTGAACAGAGATCACATCATTTTTGAAGTTGGAAAACTATGTACCCATTCCCCTAGAATTCTTCAAGTATTCATCAAGATTTATTCACACCAACAGGATTGAATGAACGGTTAGGATGCATTATTCTTTCAAATCAAAACATTCAAAACAGAAACACAGCATCAATGACCTCTTGGCTGATAAGGAACCAAGAGCGAATATACCTTGTTATGTAGCTTTATGAGCTAATACTTGTGAGTCAGAACACGTATTTTAGGTGGTCTAATTTTGTTTTTCAATGCAGCATCAGCAGCGTCCTCCAACCATTCAACTCTACTGCAATTCAGAAATATGCTTGAATATATGTGCACTCTGAAGCCTAATTATCAACCTGTGCTCCACAACTAACTAGGATGCCTCTAATCCTAGCTCTGATCTTTACAGCCACACTTGAGATAAACTTGACTGATTGTTAATGGCTTACGCAAGTCCTAAATTTTTGCTTAAATGTCTCATTCGATTTCAAATAACTAAAGTTTTTTTTTTTACATTTTTCATATTTATTAACTTGACAATTTGAGCTGTCCTATTTCTAAGGTGTTGTAGATCATCTAATTGGAACCAAAAACAGTAAAAAATTCCCAAACCTGAAATACCAATATCTTCCTGTGGAAAAACATCTCACCATAGAGCGAATTAGTTATGTAAAAACCAGAAAGCAAAACCTTTCAGTTTTCCATGTTACAGCAGACTTACTGCCACTTAAGTATGGTAAAAGTGTCCTGAGAATAACGTTCATGATATTTTTCACTGGCATCTTAATTCTGTCACGTAAAAGTGGAAAAAGCAGAAATTAAGAACATAAGGTTTGTAGTCCTACAGTATCAATAGAGACCAAATTAAAAGCAATAGAAGCATATATGTAAGTCTAAAAGAAAAATTATAACCCAAGACGCATGGGAAAAAATATTTATGTGGAGTTTTTAATCCATTTTAGAATGCAATTGTAACTTGACCATAAATTGAAACAGAAACCATCTTCTGAGATATACATTCTAATAAATGTATTGACAGTATTGATAAGTCAACGATGGGTTGGTTATCTGAACTTATAAGTAACATTTCATTTTTCTATCCAACAGAAATCTATAGTGGTTTTTCCGACTTATATGTGAAATATTGTCTTATGAAAACAAAATAAAACAAAATTAAATAAAATTGAAGATAAAAATACTCTGAAGTTAAAATAAAGCAAACTATACTCCTTGGCAGATCAATCAAGTAAAAAATATCAGTGGAAGTTGGAAGCACAAGATGACTGGCATGAGTCTTCAGCATTAAAAGCACACTTTTGAACATGTGAACTGATGACTCTTTGGAGGACAACAGCTATATACCCAAGAATCATCAGGTTTGAAAAATATTGCTTAACCACTTTCCAGAACATAGCTGCAAGAACTGAAGTTTTTTTTTTTAAAACTATCAAGGTAATCATATTTATTGCATCTTTAGATTGCATGTTGAAACAGAAAATTAATTATGCACCACAGCTTTGCCAAAATATATATTTAAAGGGGGAGACTTAAGATATTTATAAACAAAGTATACACTTTTATGTGCTTTTCAAAGGGGCTGAATTAAATATAACCAGCTGCCAACTTTGTGCTCTGACATAGCTGAATTAGTGGGTATGTGTATACTAAATTCATTTATTTTTGTCTACAATAAATGAAATAAAAACACCACCCCATACAATCCACTATTAGCAGTGAGTACAACAGCAAAAAATTATTGTACAATTTATACATACTAAAATATTTTCTTTCTCTAGAAATAACTCAGAACAAAATCTAATCATTAGAAGACGTAATTTGGGAAATCTCAAATTACAACACGGAAAAACCAAATCAGGGTGTGTACGGAGCCCAAAACAAAGGTTTCTGGTCATAAGGCTATAAGATTAGTGAGTGCAAGTGGTAGAATAAAGCATGCTCAAATTGTATGCTTGGGTCTTCGTAGAGAGTTTAAATTAAACAAGACTAGCTAAAGAAATGTTGAAAGCAGAGCAAGATCATTGGGAATTTTGCATTTCTTTTGCCATTTTTGTTACCCAACTTACACAATGCGCAAAGTGCTAAGCAACACTACAGAAACACATTTACATCAACACTGAAGACCTGGGGAAATGAAATCCAACAATTTTATTTTAATGAGCTGTATTTTCTAAATTTTTGTTTTATTTATCCTGTTTTCATACAGTATTGAAAACAAAACGCGGCACATTCACATTTTCCCGAGGAACTGTAAAGATGATCTCTACAGGGATACACGTTGTAAAGCCTGAAGCTCAATCAACTGATGTTGAAAACTCTCAAAGGGAGTAAAGGCTTGATCTGAATGGTCTAGAACATGTACTGTAATTTAATAGAAGAGATGGTCGTCTTAATATTTAATGATTTAAAAGAACTTCCCAGTCCATGCGAAGAATACAGTCCAAGAATAAATCAAATTTCTGAACGCATTTTATGCTACATATGTGTATACTTTGCGATCCTCAGGTGTTCGTGCCAAATATTCTCTCTCAATAAGTCCTTCAATACGTTTCTTAATAACAACTGGACTTGGTAAGAATCGAGCCTTCAACTGCTGAGTTACCTAAAAGAGAAGATAAAAAAACTAACTATCAGAAAAAATAAAATTTGAAACAATACCATTTTCATACAAACACATAAATATCAGCAATAATAAAACAGAAACTATGGCAGCAAACCACAGTATAACTGTTCATTATTAATTATTTTGTTTATATTAATTTACTTGATGTTCTTACACCTAGAAAACAGGTTTTTTCTCATTTTACAAATGTGGAAAATAAGCCAGAGAGGAAAACAGACATGGAAGAAGTAGTAAATAATAAAGCCAGTAAAGATGAATCCTAATCTTTCTGACTTTAAAGTTCATGCTCTCCCAACTACACCACCCTGCCTCTCTAACAGATCATCCTAAGCCTGCTTTTTGTTTACTCTTATTGATCAGTTCATTTCTCAAAGCCACAAAGGGTTGATAATTCTTTGCAATCTGCAAGTTCACCACTTCACTGTGCAACTAAAATCTATCACCCTTCTAGGATTACCATTCCAACATCAACAAGCTAGTAACTTTCAACACACCTGAGGTCCACATTCCTCTGACTCATCTACCAGGCTATTAGCAGTTCTTTGCAACCTTACTTCCTTCCCTACAGTGCCTAGATGCATCCAGTTTACTTCAACTCCTCAATTCTTTTGGTCTTATTCCCTAAACAGTGTGATAAAACCTACAATTTGTATTTATTATATCATTTTAAATCTACTAGAGTCACTTGCTGAGTAAAGCTATAGTTTTTATACCATTTGTATAGCCCAAGAGTCAGTAAAATGCGGCCACAGGCCAAACAGTGCATGCTCGCTTTTGTAAAATGGTGCTGCAATGCGCCACCCTAATTTATTTATGTATTGTCACAGCTGCTTTCATGCTTCGACTAGCCATTTACATTTGCCAACTTCTGATATAAATGGCTAATACACATTTAAAGTAAGTTTGAAGTGTAAAGTTCAAATTCAGCAAGTTCCTGAGCACCATTCTTCCATTCTTTGACAAACTTTAAGTTCTTCAGGCTAAGCTCTGTACAATAACCCCTTATCTAGTTTAGGGAAGAGAGGCCATTTCAGTTTGAACTCCTCAAATTCCAATCCTACATATGTACTTTTACCCATATTTATATCCCTCCTTGGTTAGCACATACTTTCCCACAGTGCCCTGGAAGAGGCATAGTCAGTAAAATCCGTGTTAACCACCGACCTATTATATTCCTATTCCTTTTCTAGAATTTATTATTATCCCTGCATCCCATTTTTTTCTTTCGTTTTTAAGCATCCCGTCCTAATTTATAGAATACAAACATACTTCCCATCTAGAAACAAAGGAAAACAAAAACAAAAATCTCAACACCTGGAATCCTCTAGTACTGCTTTCCTGGCCCTTTCCCTATGGCTAGAATCTCAAAGGATAAGCCACTCTTAATTGTTTCCACCTGCATTTATTTTTCAAGGCACTGTCATCAGATATCCACTCTTATCAGCCTAGTGAAAATGTCTGAGAAAGTTAGTCACCTAACAGCCAATATGTCTTAAGTGTTTATCTGATTTGGGTCTTTTCATGATTTTTTAAACAACTGACTATTCCTTCGCCATGTGAAATTGTTTTCTTTTGTGCAAATTTGAACATGCATCAGAATCACCTATGTGTTTGTTAAAGCAAGATTATGTTCCCTATCTCCAAAGTTTCTGATTCTACAGGTCTGGGTGGAGCCTAAGAATCTGTATTTCTACTATGTTCCCAAGTGATACTGATACCACTGGTCCAGGAAAACACCAATGAAAACCATTACTCTAAAGGGCTTTCCCTCAGTGTTATCTGGTATTCTCAATGCTCCTTAAATTATCAGGAGGAGATATCCTACATAGTTCTTTCTCTTCTTGTTCTTCATGCTACAGCTAAGCAGTCTAATCTATACCTGTGGTTTTAGCTAAATTTCCATAAAATGAATTACCAGTTTAATTTCTAGTCATTTCTCTCCTGACTTCCAGCTAACCTAACAGACACCTTCCCCAGATATGCCAAAATACGACAAAGGACACTTACATAAAATGGTATTAACTGGTATCCGGGCCACAGCAGTACATTACTCTTCCCTTTCTGGTTAAAGAACTCAATCTTTCTCTAGTTATTCAAGCCAGAAACCTAAGAAACATCTTAAACTCCTCTCTCTCATTGTCTGTCAGTAAATTCTTTCCATTCCACTTTCCAATGACCTTGAGTCAGCTTTCTACCCTCTACCAGCCCCTTACCTAGGCCCTAATTACTTCTGACCTGGCTATTTTAAGGGTCCTTCAACAAGTCTTCCTTTCCTTAGTTTCCTAATTTACAAAATGGTAGCACTCAATAAACAGAAAGTCATTTTTAAAAATAAAGGTAGGTGATTTATACAAAGCTATCAAGTAGCAGTGAAAATCTTTTCTTTATTGTTCACATGATAATATCCTATAATCGTTTTTGTTATAAACATATTAATTCTTTAAGTATGCACATTTTGAGATATCCCTATGTTTAATTATCAAGTGTGTGCAATGCTTTTAGTGATCAATAGTTACGTAATTATAACTTCCGTATTTAAAAATAACTTTTAAAATCAGCTAAATATAGTACTTTCTAATAATGTTAGAAATGTATTGTTAATAATGTTATTCTGTTCTTTCCAGGTGTCCTTACCTCTGCTACTAGAACATTGTGCTGCATCTTCTTTCTAGATTTCATTATTCGCACTATAGCAGCTTCTATCTCATGTTTTCTGTCATCGTCTACTTTCTGCCTTGTTTCTTTCCTTTCTGGGTCGGATTCACCTTGTTTGGCAGCAACTAAGATAGAAATAAAGTCAATTACCACAAATGTAACAACAAATGTTTGATTTATAAGCAAATGATATAAATTCAGTATTATGCAGGAAAAAACCAATTTCAACACTAAGTATACACTTATAAATTCAAATCAGCATCTGAAGTGCCTAATTCAATGCTTACTTCAATTGTAAATTATTCTTTTCAAAAATTAAGAATTAAATTTAACTAAGATGATGAAATCAATTTCACTTTTATGAAACACAGTAAAATTCCTTTCTTGGAAGAAAAATGGTACCTGGATATATTCAGCAATGAAATTATCAGTGAACAATTTTCACTGATTGTGGCTTCCAAAAGTCAACCAATATTCTACCACCATGACTCCAAGTTAAAGCTTACCAATAGTACCTCACATAAATAATTACCTATTGTCTTATTAACTAAAATGTAGTTGTCATCTTCTAAAGCACTAAGGAAAGAATGAGTATGTACTGGCAAGCACCACTATGACATTAAAGTAACTACATAACAGTGAATTCATCTGTATCACTCACCAATGTCTCTTTAGATTCTATTATCAACATTTTCTGTCAAAATGGGATCAAACACAGAAGTACCCTTTCTCCTACAACTTTACTCTAAGTTAAGTAGAGGAGAATCGAGAAAACTGATCATTTGTTTGTTTAGTCTTCAAAAGGAGAAAGATGTGAAGTTTCTGGAGCAGGAATTGGAAAATTACAAAGAAGCACAATGGAACACTGCTGACTGAGGCATGCGCACAGCCATGGGACAGCAGACTGCACAGTTTAGATCATTCTGGTGTGCATATCCATTCAGCTGTGCCTAATTCAAAACCCCTGGTTGAAAATGCTACTTTCAGTGTCATTTCCCAAGGAAAAGACAATCAATATCAGCAAGATAAATACATTTTTAAAAATACATAAAAACAGTCTACTAAGAAAGAATAATGCTTTTCATCAAAAAGTCAGTGTCAGGGGGAAAACAAGAGGAAATGGTTTAACTTTGAGACAAAAAATCAGATGTGATATGGGAGCTTTAATAGAATCCTGAATCTAAAAAGTAAGGTACGAAATGGATTTTTAAACCAACTGAGGATATTTAAGTAAGTGTTATACAGATGATATGGAATTACTCAATTTCATGGGTGTGATACAGTATTACAGTGACACGTGAAAATACCTTATTCTAAGAAGGTGTGGCTGAAGTACTGGGTTGTCAGAAAAATTGTGATGTATTTTTCGGTTTTCCTATGCAAAGGTGCTTCATAACTTTTCTGACAACTCAGTATTTATAGGGAAGTCTTAAAGATGCCTGTAAATTCACACATATGTACATACATAGATGGAGGAAGAGAGAAAGAGAGAATGCAAATATGGCAAATTTTAATGATTGGTAAACACACATCATAGCCATACTGATGTCCAATACAGCGTTTTTCATCTTTTCTATAGATTCGGAAACATATTAAATAAAACTGGAAGGAAAAATATTGTTTAATCATTCACTGAGTTTGCCTGGATTTGGTCACCAAAACAGGTGTACACCAGGGCCTGCAGATGGTGTAGTAGTGACATCACTGGACACTCACATGGTCAACCACAGTTTGAATCCTAGGCCCAGAGGCTTGAAAATCATGCTAGATGCGTATGTGAGTGTGTCCAAGATCCCAGGAGGAGAATAGAGAAGGGACTGCAGTGAGGCCATCCCACCTGGGCAGTGATTTCTGACTTTGCCTCACACTCACTCTCTCCAGCAAGTAGACACACTCTAAGGCAAAAATCTCTTAAAAAAAAAAAAAAGCTGTACACCTTAAATGACTGCAAAAAACAAACAAAAAAAACGGTAAATGAGAAGATTGTGGGTGATGATACACACAGGACTAAGATGTTTGAAAAAAAAAAAAAGTGAGGGCAGAGTTCACCCCAGAGCATAGCAAAATACTCCACACTGAGAGAGTGCAACAGAAAGTGTCTGCTTGTGTATGTGCCTACGCATGTGGTATGTTGTGGGAAAGGAGGTGTGCAAAGATAATAGTGGTGAAGACTGTCTACTACGGAATGTGCTACAGATTATAATGAACCTAATTATTTTCAAAGGCTGGTATTTGATTAATTCTTCTCATTTCTTCTGCTTTAATTTCTTTTTCTTTTTTTTTTTTGTCATATAGCATGTGTGCATGCCAGAGAACAGAGAAAGATAGTGAGAGGGAAAATGAGAAAAGACCTCAGGGGGCATGGTCATGGTGCAATCCCTTCTCCTTCATTCTCCTCTTGGGATTTTGGGCATGCACGCACACGTACCTGGTATGATTTTCAAGCTGCAGTCATGTGGGGAGTGTAGTGCCTTAATCACCACTCCACTTGCTGGCCCCTTTGCTTGAATTTCTATTACTGTCTACAGTAAAAGCAGCACAAACAAGTAAGTCAGTCTCTGAATATTTTATCATGTTGCTGAGCCTTTGGCAATTTAAGAAAACTGATGTAGGGGCCAGAGGGTGGCAGAGTGGCTGAGGTGGTAGACTCGCATATGGCCAACTATGGTCTGAGTCCCTGACCTGCAGGCTTGAGAATCATGCTGGGCATGTGTGTATGTGTGCCCCAGACCCCAGGAGAACGATAAAGGAGAAGGTAATGTAGCATGGTCATCTCTCTGGGAGGATGATGTCTCATTTTCCCTCTCACTGTCCCTGTCTCCCCAGCAAGCACAAGTACCCTATGGCAAAAGACATAATTAAAAAGAAAAAAAAAGAAAAAAAAAAAAAAGAAGCCTAGGACATCTGAAGGTTTTCTGCCCAGACTTCACCCTCCGGCTCCTCAGACCTAACAGGACAAGCCAATCACCAGCCATATAAAATTGACTTCTTTCTGAACAGCCTGTTTCAGGGCCTAGAACATCTTAAGATTTTCTGCCCAGACTTGTTCCCCAGATCTAGCAGGGACATCATGCTGTTTATTCCACTCTGTCTCTACCTCTCTCTAAATTATTTTTCATTTAAAATTTTAAACTTCCTAGCTCTCTGATGCTCTTTTATCTTGCTAATTCTTACTCCTACCCACCCATGCACACACACAGGTCAAGTCAATCACCAGCGATATACATTTGACTTCTGAGTGGCCCATTTCATGTGGTGTGCTAATGGTTTTTATTTTTTGCTTAAAACATTTTTTCCTTTTTAAATTTACACTGTTCTTGTCTTTTGTTTTATTTTCCTTTTCCTTTACCTCTCTCACTTTTCTGCTCAGCCTCCACAAACTGAGTTTCTAGATAGCCAAATATCTTAATACTTCTAGGGTCAGCTTCTAGAGTCAGAATAATCCTCATTCCATAAAATCTGCTACACAAAAGGAGAAAAACAATACTGCTCAGTTTGCAGATTACCTCTTCCTGCATTTCCTCTGAACACACAGATTTAACTCCAAAAATTAGGAAAAAACATATAATCCATCGGATGACCAGAAATCACCTCAGAAACAACAAGAAATAAGAGAAACCAAGAAAATATCTCTCCCCCAAGGGAGAAGATCAACTCCTCACCCTCCACAGACAACACAAGGGAACTCAGAAATGTCAGATAAAGAATTTAGACTATTCATTGTGACAAAGGTAACAGAGATGCAAGAGAAGAGAGACAACGAATTCTGGAAGATGAAGGAAAAAAAGAGATGAGTTCTAGGAGGTAAGGAAGTTCTTGCACGAGCTGAAAGAGGAAATACACACCATAAAAAAGGATCAAACAGAATTATTAGAGATGAAGGATGTAATACAGGAAATCAAAACCTTCCTTGAATGCACTAAAAGAAGATTAGATCATTCAGAAGACTGAATTTCTGAAGTAGAAGATAGACAGAACCTCTGACTTAGAAAAATTCACCAAAAAGACTGAGAAAATAATCCCTCAAAATGAGAATAATATACGAGTAATACTAGATACCTTTAAACGCCCAAAGGTCCAGATGATCGGTATCCCAGAAGGTGAAGAAACTAACAAGGGCATTGATAATCTATTCCATGAAATCCTTGAAGAAAACTTTTTAAACCTAGAGAGGCATTAAAATATCCAAACCCAAGAAACACAAAGGACCCCACATAGAATCAACCCAAGAAGATCTTCTCCAAGGCATATCATAGCCAGATTGACCAAAACCAGACAGAGGCAAGACACTAAAATTGGCAAGAGAGAAATGTCAAGTTACTTTCAAAAGATATCTCATCAGGCTAACATCGGACCTTTCATTGGAAACAATGAAAGCAAGAATGGGAAAATATATTCAAAGTGTTAAGTAAAAAACATTTCGACCAAGAATACTATACCCAGCAAGATTATCCTTCATATGGGAAGAAAAGATAAAAACATTCTCAGATATAGGACCAGCAGATGGCATAATAGATATGTTGTTGGACTCCCATGTAGTTGACCACAGTTCAAGTCCTGGATCCAGTGGCTTAAATTCATGTTGGGCACATGTGCAAGCATGCCCAAGATAGCAAGAGGAGGATGGAGAAGGGATTGCGGCATAGCTATCCCCCCTGGGGGGTGATTTCTCACTTTCTGTCTCTGTCTCTCTCTGTCTTTATGGTGAGTTCATGGGCCCTATAGCAAAAAACCTCTCTCAAAAAAAAAAAAAAAAAAAAAAACCTCAGGAAAACAAAACCTGAAAGAATTTATCAATACCAGACCAGCTCTTTAAGAAGTTCTGAAAGGAGTGCTTTACCAGGAAAACACACACACAAATATAAATATAAAAAGCAACCATGAGAATGGCCAACTTAATAGTAGGGACAAGTCCAGAAAGATTAACAATAATTTTGAATGTTAACTTCCAGAATGTAAATGGAAAGATCAGACCCATAGTAACACTGCAAATTCAATAGAAGAGAGATTAATTTCAGGAGACTGGACTGGTAAAACAATTTTTACAACTTTTGACTAAAACATTACTGATTTTCTTCTATGCTTTGTTGTCCAGATTTAAGGATTTTTGTCTTCTCTTATACTGTTGAAGGTTCATCTACCTACTGTCTGAATTGAATTCTAATCTTTCTTCTGGATTAAGTCTTAAGCAACTTTCTCTTAACATTTTTTGATTTTGATCTATTAAAACTAAAACTGGGGACCAGTAGATGGCGTAATGGCTACATCACTGGACTCCCACCTAGTCAACCACGGTTGAAGTCCCAAATCCAGTGGCTTAAATTCACGCTGGGTGTGTGCGTGCGTGTCCAAGATCTCAAGGGGAGAATGGAGAAGGGATTGCGGCGTGGCCATCCCCCCTGGAGGATGATTTCTTGCTTTCTTTCTGTCTGTCTCTGTCTTTCTGGTAAGTGCAGGCGTCCTATGGCAAAAACCTCTCAAAAACAAAAACAAAAACTTTTTCTTGAAATAAAAAAATGCATTAAAAATATTTATTAAAGACTGCAGTAAGCTACATAGCCCCAGCTAGGTATACTTTATAGTATGTTCATTCTATTCACTGAGTTTTATGGCTAAAGTCAGACATGGGTTCATGGATATGTATGTATCAGCTCTGTTTGCTACTGAAAGTATTTAGAGTAATTAAGATCTTCAGTGAATAATAAAATGTGGGAAAAAAGGGGGAGGGGGAATGAAAGCAACTGTAAATACCAGAGACAGTGTATTGAAGGGTGGGAAATGGCAGAGGTGAGTGATAGAGAATTGGGGAAGGGGAGGAAGGAAATATGTAAGAAACAAGAAATGAAAAATTATTTGTTGACGATAACATGTATGGCAATGTCCTTGACTGAGTCAATATACAGTGTATTCTGGATGGAAAAATCTCATTTTGTATGCTGTAATGATGCACAGTGAATGAATGTAAATAAATAAATTTAAAATAAATTTTTTTAAATAATAAATTTTAAAAAAAGAAAAAGGAAACTGATGTAATCCCAATATTTACCAAGAGAAAATTTTTGCTTAAAGTGAGTAAAAGTCAAGATAATTTAAAAAACACCCCAGAATAAAAATTATTTCTTTGCAGAATTTTATCATAAAAGGAACTTTGAGGTCATCTATTCAAATCCTTCATATGTAACTACTTTCCCATTTTTAAATACCTGAAATACTACACAGAAACACATGTGCACATACATATGCTCAAAACTAAAAATCCATGGAGAAGCCCTGGTTGGTATTATTATTGATAATATCTGATAATACTATTGCTGAGCATGATGGAATGTAGGATTCTAAAGAGAGTTGCTTATTTAGGTTAAAATAGGGAGAGACTAGATGATTCAGGTGTGTGTGTGTGTGTGTGTGTGTGTATATATACATCCACACTTACTTTCCTTCAAATCTGGGACATACATGTACATTAAAACTGAAGATCTTAGAACCGGCAGTTGGCATACTGGCTCCATTGATGAACTCTCATGTAGTTGACCGCGGTTCGAGTCTTGGACACAGTGGCTTAAACTCACATTGGGCGTGTGTGCGTGTGTGCCCAAGATCTCGAGAGGAGTATGGAGGAGAAGGGACTGTGGCGTGACCATCCCCTCTAGGGGGTGATTTCTCGCTTTCTGTCTCTATGTCTCTCTCTGTCTGTCTGGCGAGCGCAC